TATATATATATATATATATATATATATATATATATATATATATATATATTAATCCACTCCATATATATATTAATCCACTCCATATATATATAAATGGCACCTTCTTACGGCAGAGATGTGCTTACTGTGTATATTGGGCATATCTTCTGACTTTAGGGACTAAAATAAATCTTCATTGCTTTTTTTTTTTGAACTTATGTTAGCTGTGTTGGCTCTGCAGGACTGAGCTTGTGCATCAGGATAATTATTAATAATGTTCCAATCAGTGACACCAGTGTGCACAGCCACAAATGGCATAAGTGTCCCTGAGGGCACACACTGAGGAAAATGGAGTAGACTGGATACATAGGTTGAAGTACAAGACCTGAATAGTTACTTACATTACAATAGTGGCTAATCTCCCATTGTCCTAGATCCTATACAAACACAAAGGAAAACACATAGTCCCTTCCCCAAATAGTTTACAGTCTAATTTGGCCAACGCAACCTTTATTGCTGGGGAAGATGCATGAGAAGATGAGAACTCTGCTTGATGCCAGATTGTGTCTGCAGAGAAGATAGGAAAGTCAGTTGTGCTTGTAAATAGAGCATATCTGACACAAAGTCATTAAGGAATAATGAACATGAAAATCCACAATGCCGTTTTTAGTCACTTTTCAGGGTACTGTGAAGATAACATTCCCAAATCAGAACTGATACAGTGCTGTTTTTACAACCCAGGCCGCTCTAGTGCCTGCCTTGACCACTGCACATAAGCACCCAGAAAGTGAAATTGGCATGACTCTGGTTAGCCCATTGCTATTGAGAGCCCTAGGACGGCCATGAAACTGGCAAGTTTGGAACTGAGCTGTTTGGAAAGGCTAGGAGCAGCAACAACAGATGCAGACACTGGAGGTGGAGGACTTTAAAAGAACCTATGAAAGATGTAAAGATTGTCCACACAACTCTTTTCAGGAGGTAGTAGGAAAAGCAGGGGAGTCCCTCCCCAGGAAAACAGGAGCATAGGAAAGGGGTAAAGAAGCGAAGATAAACCTTATTTGACCTCCTAGCTAGTCCTATTTTCAGTGAAGAGCCTAAAATAAATCAATCTTCCTTTCTTCCCCACTAGACAGCAAACTTGTTCAAGGGGCAACATTATGCAAAACCAATAGAACAAATCATACCAAACTAGAGGGTTCTAGAAACTTTAATTTCTATAGCATCAAATACAAGTACCTCTGCTCTTCCCCATGCCCAAGCAGAACTCACAAATGAAATAGTAACTGACAACTATGAAGAAAGAAGACAATTGATACTTGCATGCTTCTTGGCCATTTGCTGCCAAATCACCTTAGAATGATCTCCTTAGAAGTCATAAGCTAAGCATAATTAAGCCTGATCAGTTACTTAGATGAGTTATTGACCAAGAAAAAAAATCAAGCATGCTACAAAAAACTGCACTAGTAATTTAGCCGCCTGAATCAGTACTGATTTAAAGGAGCTGTAGTGGCAAGGATTGATTTTAAGAGAACTCTTAAAGATGAGTCATAAAGATGAGAGCCTGACCACTTCTTGAAGGATGGGATCTTCAACAGTAGGGGGCGGATCTTGGAATCCTAGTCTGAAACCATTTTGGGTTAAATTTTGCCTTCCTTGCGTTTTCCTGCAATGTCAAGTGAACGTGGAATTCTTCCTTCTTTCTTTCCTATCCTAAACTATTAGGTAGCATTGCTGTGAGCTGTTTAAGAGCTACCACGTCCTGCCCAAAATGTGCTCACACACATTCCATTGACAGGTGATGTGACCCAAGTATACCTAGTTTTCAAAAAGTCTGCTGAGTTCTCCAAATAGAAGGCATTCTTTAAATGTCACGTCTAGAAGATCATTAACGGAAAGAATAGGTGAATTAAAGCCCAATAAAAGGGAGGCTACAATCCAGAGACTGTAAGCTTCATGAGGCAGGATCCGAGTCGTTACCTGCGTTTTGTACAGCAAGAGCAGCACAACCGGTGCTCCACAAAAGAGCGCCCTGCAAAGCTGGTACACTTTTCAACCCACTTCGCTCCTACGCGCCCCAGACTGATTAGCGGCAATTATAATAAACTAATGACATGCAACAGAATCCCAGCTGTCAGCGCCCTGCCCATCACTAACACCATCCCACACTTCGTAAATCAGGCAAAAGCAAGCACTGAATGCCATTAACCAGAGGCACCCTCGCTGCCTGCTGCTGGAGGGAGGCCCCTGCAGGAATGCCCCTCACTGCTCCTTGCTCCCCAGATAGCCTGGGGGAGACGAGCCTTCGCTCCCCACCTTCTGCTCTTCCTCCCCCTGCAGGTGGCCCCCGCGACCCCCCACTCCCAGAGCCCGCTTGCTGCCCAGCTAAGGAGGCGGCGACACCCATCCCTGCCCCAAGGCTGCGGGCGGGGAGAGCCCTGCACTCCCCGGGAGGGGCAGGAGCCCCCTACTCACCTTCATGCCGGCGCGCTCTTGCCCTCCCGCAGCTCGGGGCCGATGGAGCGCAGCAGCGCACGGAGCGGGACGCGACCGCTGCGGAGTCCCCGGCTCCTCCTGCCCGATGTAAACACAGAGCGAGGGGCGGGACAGAGCGCCATGGCAACCCGGCCGGAACCGGAAACGCTGTGGCCGGGCAGGCTGCTTGGGGCGCCATCTTGGGGGGGGGGAGTGGAAGAGGCGCTGTCATCAACGCTGGAGCCTTGGGCAGGAGCTTCTTCCGCGCACTGCGCCCTGGACATCCCCCCTCCCGGGGCACGGGCCCGTCACTGCTGGGAGTGAATAACCCCCCAAGCTCTTCCCTCTCAGATCTTGAGTCCCCCCGCTGGCATTGCACCTAGGACACCTCTTCTGCCACCTCTTTCCTTGCCCCTTATGCTTTTGGGTACATCAGCTTCCTATTCCTGCACCTCCGCAGCCGCTGGGTAGCTTGTCAGGTGGGGGGATGATTTGCACTAAGAAAGAGCATTGGAAGTAGTTGGCACTGAAGGTTTATCCACTCGCAACCTTCCCTGGCCATCCACTAGCCTTCTGCCTTCCTGCCGAGCCACCTCTATCACTCAGCAATAAATAATAGTAAACCCATGGAGGCCTTTCCATGTAATGGTTACATGCTCTCAGGGTCAAAGGGCTTTTGAGATGTGCTATCCCACAGGAGTGAGGGCATGCTAAACTGCATTTTACCCTTAGCAATTGTTGCCCTTACACAGTCTCTTTCATTTTCAAAGAATTTCACAAACTTTAAGAACAGACAAATGGCCACCAATGGTCCATCTAGCCCGGTATCCTGTCTCTGACAGTGGCCAGTGCCTGATGCTTCAGAGGGAATGAACAGAACAGGGCAATTATCAAGTGATCCATCCCGTCATCCAGTCCCAACATCTGGGAGTCAGAGGTTTAGGGACACCCAGAGGATAGCGTTGTATCCCTGACCATCTTGGCTAATAGCCATTGCTGAACCTATCCTCCATGAACTCATCTTTTTTTGAACCCAGTTGTACTTTTGGCCTTCACAACATCCCTGGCAATGAGTTTCACTGTGCCTTCTGTGAGGAAATACTTCCTTTTGTTCGTTTTAAACCTGCTACCTATTAATTTTGCCAGGTGACCTTGGGTTCTTAATCACAGAAACATTGAATGGTAAGGTGCCTACCAGGCTCCAGGACAGGTGGCATTACCCCAGACTGATGCTGTATCCAGTGATTTGTAGTGGGGTGCTAGTCTACTGAAAGGGAGAAGGTCACCCAGTTTCAATATAATTTACCATGCCACCCCCCCTAAAAACTGTGAAATTCCCAGAAAGCCAATGAATCTGGTTACCCTTTGTAAATAGTGAGAAATCCAACAAGCCGTGCCTGCTTTTCATTAGTATTGTAATAATATTTTGCACATCTATATCATCTTCCAGCTGAGGATTTTGAAGCACTTTACAAACACAAATTAATTAAACCTCACAATGCCCCCGATATAAATAACTACTCCCATTTTATAGATGGCAAAATTGAAGCATATAGAAGTTAAATGACCTGTCCAAAGCCAAATAGGAAGTTTTTGGTAGAGCCAAAAATAGCACGCTCTTCTCCTGACTGCCAGTACTGTGCCTTAACCATCAAACCATCCTTTATGCCCTATATTTATTCTGATTTAATCAATACTACTACTACTCCATTAGACTATAATCCTTATTTCACCTAGGAATTGTTTAAAGATGAAGATGAGGGAATCTGGCAAGAGAGTTTCTAGAGTTCAAATTATTCTATCTTTCTTGTACAATGTAGTAAAGTAATTATGGGGCATTCCAGAGGACGTGTCTACGCTGATGATGGGTTCTGCAGTTATGTAACCAAAAAAAAAAATCTACATTTGTAAGTTACACTTTCATGATAAAGAGATTGCACTCTGGTACTTAGAATCATAGTATCATAGAATATCAGGGTTGGAAGGGACTTCAGGAGGTCATCTAGTCCAACCCCCTGCTCAAAGCAGGACCAATTCCCAACTAAATCAGGCTTGACAAAGCCCTGGCTGGGATGACCTTAAAAACCTCTAAGGAAGGAGATTCTACCACCTCCCTAGGTAACCCATTCCAGTGCTTCACCACTCTCCTAGTGAAAAAGTTTTCCCTAATATCCAACCTAAACCTCCCCAACTGCAACTTGAGACCATTACTCCTTGTTCTGTCATCAGGTACCACTGAGAACAGTCTAGATCCATCCTCTTTGGAACCCCCTTTCAGGTAGTTGAAAGCAGCTATCAAATCCCCCCCCTTATTCTTCTCTTCTGCAGACTAAACAATCCCAGTTCCCTCAGCCTCTTCTCATAAGTCATGTGCTCCAGCCCCCTAATCATTTTTGTTGCCCTCTGCTGGACTCTTGCCAATTTTTCCACATCCTTCTTGTAGTGTGGGGCCCAAAACTGGACACAGTATTCCAGATGAGGCCTCACCGATGTCGAATAGAGGGGAACGATCACATCCCTCAATCTGCTGGCAATGCCCCTACTTATACAGCCCAAAATGCCGTTAGCGTTCTTGGCAATAAGGGCACACTGTTGACTCATATCCAGCTTCTCGTCCACTGTAACACCTGGGTCCTTTTCTGCAGAACTGCTTCCTAGCCATTCGGTCCCTAGTCTGTAACAGTGCATGGGATTCTTCCGTCCTAAGTGCAGGACTCTGCACTTGTCCTTGTTGAACCTCATCAGGTTTCTTTTGGCCCAATCTTCTAATTTGTCTAGATCCCTCTGTATCCTATCCCTACTCTCCAGCGCATCTACCACTCCTCCCAGTTTAGTGTCATCTGCAAACTTGCTGAGAGTGCAGTCCACGCCATCCTCCAGATCATTAATGAAGATATTGAACAAAACCAGCCCCTGGGGCACTCCACTTGAAACCGGCTGCCAACTAGACATGGAGCCATTGATCACTACCCGTTGAGCCCAACGATCTAGCCAGCTTTCTATCCACCTTATAGTCCATTCATCCACCCCATACTTCTTTAACTTGCTGGCAAGAATACTGTGGGAGACTGTATCAAAAGCTTTGCTAAAGTCCAGGAATAACACATCCACTGCTTTCCCCTCATCCACAGACCCAGTTATCTCCTCATAGAAGGCAATTAGGTTTGTCAGGCATGACTTGCCCTTGGTGAATCCATGCTGACTGTTCCTGATCACTTTTCTCTCCTCTAAATGCTTCAGAATTGATTCCTTGAGGACCTGCTCCATGATTTTTCCAGGCACTGAGGTGAGGCTGACTGGCCTGTAGTTCCCCAGATCCTCCTTCCCTTTTTTTAAAGATGGGCACTACATTAGCCTTTTTCCAGTCATCCAGGACCTCCCCCGATGGCCATGAGTTTTCAAAGATAATGGCCAATGGCTCTGCAATCACATCCGCCAACTCCTTTAGCACCCTCGGATGCAGCGCATCCGGCCCCATGGACTTGTACTCGTCCAGTTTTTCTAAATAGTCCCGAACCACTTCTTTCTCCACAGAGGCTGGTCACCTTCTCCCCATACTGTGCTGCCCAGTGCAGCAGTCTGGGAGCTGACCTTGTTCGTGAAGACAGAGGCAAAAAAATCATTGAATACATTAGCTTTTTCCACATCCTCTGTTACTAGGTTGCCTCCCTCATTCAGTAAGGGGCCTACACTTTCCTTGACTTTCTTCTTGTTGCTAACATACCTGAAGAAACCCTTCTTGTTACTCTTAACATCTCTTGCTAGCTGCAACTCTAAGTGTGATTTGGCCTTCCTGATTTCACTCCTGCATGCCTGAGCAATATTTTTATACTCCTCCCTGGTCATTTGTCCAATCTTCCACTTCTTGTAAGCTTCTTTTTTGTGTTTAAGGTCAGCAAGGATTTCACTGTTAAGCCAAACTGGTCGCCTGCCATATTTACTCTTCTTTCTACACATTGGGGTGGTTTTTTCCTGCAACCTCAATAAGGATTCTTTAGAATACAGCCAGCTCTCCTGGACTCCTTCCCCCCTCATGTTATTCTCCCAGGAGATCCTGGCCATCAGTTCCCTGAGGGAGTCAAAGTCTGCTTTTCTGAAGTCCAGGGTCCGTATTTTGCTGCTCTCCTTTCTTCCTTGTATCAGGATCCTGAACTCGACCATCTCATGGTCACTGCCTCCCAGGTTCCCATCCACTTTTGCTTTCCCTACTAATTCTTCCCGGTTTGTGAGCAGCAGGTCTAGAAGAGCTCTGCCCCTAGTTGGTTCCTCCAGCACTTGCACCAGGAAATTTTCCCCTACGCTTTCCAAAAACTTCCTGGATTGTCTGTGCACCGCTGTATTGCTCTCCCAGCAGATATCAGGGTGATTAAAGTCTCCCATGAGAACCAGGGCCTGCTA